TTAAAATATATCAAATCTACATGAAAAACTAACAATCTCCTTTTTTCTATATAGTGGAAATTGGCACCCCCTTCCTGGAGGGGTTCCCTCGTCATGCTTGAAAGAGTTGGAGAAGGAGATGGAACGGAATTACTTTGAAGTTCGTTTCGTTCCATACTGCTCCCCTTCTAGGAAATGTTCACGGGAATGTTAACGCGTAAGGTCAAAAATGTGTTACCATGTATTGGATAGAACCAGTTTTCACTTCACCAGTTGAAGAAGCTTGAGCTAATACCACTGGTTGTTATTTTTGCCAAGAATCAACTGAAAGTCGTGCAGCAAATATCTCTTACCGCTATTTCGCCTACTGCAAATTATAATGAGCATTATATGTGTAGTGTATGTATAAAGGTATCCTTCATTGGAAGTGTACGTTTTACATTGTTACTAAGTAACAAGATGTACAAAAGATACCTCACTGTGTTTTTACAGCAAAAATCACTTACACAAGTTGCAGAAATGATTTGTATTAACATCTTTCTTTTAGATCCGTCCAGCGGCAAGGTATTCTTTCTTTGTTAACATTCTATTTTTGGTCCAAAAATTAAGATAATCAAGAGTGTAAACATACAAAAGGCTCACTCGATTATGCATACTTAACCAAAGATACAACTTGTACGATTTAACGAAGCTTATGAAAAAAAACCCTAGCTTAACAGAGAATGACATTAGCGGATCCATGGTTTCGCTGTATCTCATTTATTAGGGCGCTGCAGTGCTGGATTCGATTAGCGCCGGTAAGGAATGTATCCAGCCGCCCTAGAAACATCTCTATTTTTTGTAGAAAATAAAATTATCCATAATTATCTTACAATTACACTTTTAGCAAGGCTTCTCATTCAAAGATCACGGTGATGACATAGGCACGGATATGTCTGAAGAAAAAGGACCAAGCAAAAAGGATGGCACGGAAGAGACAGCAGTACCTTTCGATCCGTCAAAGGCAGCTAAAGCCATAGCGGCAGGGAAGCCAGTAAAACAGGGCAATGTCTTTGTTGAATACAACTTATACGACATAAATAGGCCGCTCCCCGCTGAAGGTTGGGGCACGTAAGTGTGGATTT